TAGGGTTACCGAAATCGCTACCGACTTACGGATTTGAAATTGTTTTTCCTAGAAAGTCCTCATGGTGCTGTAACATTGCATGCTAACGGAAGTAGACTGGCGCCTGGCCAGAATTGTTAGGAACAGCCTGTACGCATTAGCCGAAGAGGGAGCTTCGGTCATGTATCTCTCGTAAAGATAGGTTTATTACTCTACAATATACATCGTTAATGTAACACAAATTACGTAATAAGAAGGTCACATATAAATTCCCCTCGTATTTATTAGCGTGTCAGCCACCGTATGGTTGCAAACAAGAAATAATCCAAACCTACTGACGTATTCTTGCAGCTCCGTAAGAATTTTTTAACGTTAGGGAAAATTATTATCTGTTTCAGAGATGTATTATATCCTCTTTAAGAAAAACTACATGTGCATTTCAGGAATCGCTTCACATCTGCACTAATTAGCAAGAGCATAAGTGATAATCGACTTTAAAGCTTTTACGTTTTTCTCGTTTATCTTTGCTTTGCAGAACAGAGCATGCCTGTTCAAACTGTTTCACGGAAGATTCAGTCTACTCACATTGTGTGAAATGGAACTACTTCAAGATTTTCAGGTTAAAATATAAAAAAAGACCTATAATTTTTTCATGATTTTTATAAGGAGTATTTCGATTCCTCAAGAGTATTTTGCTATCGTACATCACTCGAAACCAGGGTAGATCACAACCTATTTTTAGAGGACAGATCTTAGGCGCCCGTTTCCGCGTATAGCGGAGTCGGTGTCGCCGTCGCCGTCGGCGTAACTGCGCGCGTTGCATTATGGGACGTCACAAACTAATTCACAAACTGAATTCCCAGCACAATTTAGCGAAGAAACTGAATTCTTGTGTAGGTCTGTGATGTCCCATAATACAACACTGTGCATTCCGTTTCCACGCTAAAGTCAACGGCAAAACTGGCGTCACATAACCTCAACACCAATTCAGTTTCCCCGCTAAATTTATCGGGGAAAAGAATTGGTTTTGAGGTCACGTGACGTCGACTTTCCAGCTAAATCTATTGGAAAAACTAAATTTGTTCATAGGTGACGTGGCAAAAAGTCATGAGACATCACTTTCTCCGCTAAATTTAGCGGGGAAACTGAAATGGTGTTGAGGTCACGTAACGCCAATTTTTCAGCCAAATTTAAAGGGGAAATTGTGACGTCACGTGGCGTCACAGTCCACGGCTTCACGACGTGCGGCTTCACGAAATCCGAAAAAACTAGCCAAAAGTGTTTCACGTTGCAACAAACACCGCGCTCGTTGCATTATGGAGCTCCCATCGTACCCTCCTCGTCTTCCCTGGCCTACCCTCATACGAAAAAAAAACAACAAAAAAACTAATATATCATTTTTTTCTTTTTCTCATTTTTTTATTCCAGTATATCACAAAATTAACATACCTCAAGAGCTGCGCTCTAATTTTGCATAACAAAAAAGCGTAAACGTCTGTTATTTTTAATGGAATAAATCAAATTTGCTTCATTTTGATCATATTTATTTGTTTTAAACCAATGTAGCTAGAAAATAATAGTTATTCACTTGTAGATGCATTTTTAAACATTACAGATGGATTAATATATTCGTCCGATCACGGATAACACTGTGGAAGAAAAAAACTGCTGCCAAATTAAAGTGCAGTTTAATTCCCATAATTTCACTGATGTAATTCCCCCTAATACTAGCACAAAAACAGCTTGTTTTTTGGTTAGTTGTATTTTTGTATTTTGCGTTCGTATTTGATTAAAACAGTTAATTACTTTTCTAGTATTTGTTCCTCTTTTTTCATTCTTATTTGTGGCAATATGACGTTATGTAACGGATGAACGAAGTGGATGGTAGAAATGAAGCTCAATGTTCCCATTTTCACAGTAGGGCACAAGTTTTTTTATCCTCTATAACCTTATGGAAATATTTTTTTAACTATAAATTTTTGATTAAAGTACAAAACAAAGGCACACAGAATCCCGAAATGATAGATGAACGGCAAATCAAAATTATTTCTAAAATATTTTTGCGGGAAAGGCTTGATTTAGAAAATCACGGTAAAAGTGGCGTATTAAAAATCACGATTTAAATCATATTTGTTTTTATTTTCCACCCTGGTTAAAACACGTACACGATCCAGTGATTAAGCTGGAAGGTAGGCTTTGACATCATCTTTAGCTAAGCAAATTTCCCTAGACGCGGTGATTAATGAACGGCGTTGGGGGAATGGCGATTACTCAGGTCCGGCTGTGGCAATCCACAACGTGCCAGGAAATATCTTATATTTAACCGCCTAATAGGTTTCCGCCAGTTACGTCAACCATAATCATCTTCGTCTTCTGTGAGAAGAGATGGACAAGTGCAAGAAATGCGGTGTATTTCCCGGTCGATCTTAAGAGCGTAGTAACTCACGAAACAAATTGTTAAACGGGTGCTCCCCGATCCGCACTCAAGCGAAAAACAGAAACAAACAACAGCAAAAAGCCTCCTGCAAATACAGCATGCTCGCGACGGTACCTTTGGCAGGCGTTTGATCGTTCGGAGCTCATGAAGTAAGCACAAATGATAGCAAGCGTGCCGAGGATGCCCTTGAACGCATGATGCTCGTGTTTAAACTCAGCCTCCTTTATTCTACAACTTGTTTTAGAACCATCGTACATATCATCACGTGTAGACCATGACGTAAAGGTAGTTATTCCCCCTTGCAGCACGTCCACTTTTAAGGCCTCTTTTCAACCTCCGACCTCGATTGATTGGAATCGCCGTCCCGCTTCATATAGTCTCAATTACTAACACTCTTGATTTTAAAGATGCTATTACCAACTTTTTACTTAATAATGCGTAGCGCGTTTTTATTTATTTTTATTTTTTTGCCTCGCTTAATTATGTTACTTTTATGTGTTAACCGCCCACTCCCCTCTGCAATGCCGCTTGGTCCCGAGGGAATAATAAATGAAAAATGAAATGAAAGCCTGTCAAACCGCAAAATACTCTGTTTTGACGTTTGTCGCAGTCGTTTGTTTCTATTTGTCGCTCTAGTGGGACTCGGGAATAAAACATTCATTGACACATTTCCTGTCGTAGCAAGATAGAGTTGTTTTTGTGTTCTGTACTACACGTGTTACCACCATTTGATGCGGTCCTTCTGTGCATTTTGATTTGTACGGCAGGTGTGACAAGTGAAAAAAATACTGCTAATAATATATGCTTATAACCATACTCATCCTGAAGACGTATAAAATAAATATCCCGTTGCAGTAATTAGAAAGTAATTTTAGTCTCATTGTGCTCCCCAGGCCGGCAACATTTTTGATATCAAGAAAGCCCTCTAAATAGGAAACACAGACAATTTGATTCTTTGTTTTGTATTATTGGAAACAAAAATGCGCACGATTGTCATTTTCAAATATTGTACCATCATTTCTACTGGAATTGTATCCTAAAATTTATAAATTGCTTGTATTATGCAAATTTCTAATTAAATTTCCTAGCCCGAATGTTGCGGGGACGACAACATGCAGCGTTACAGCCTGGAAATCCAATGCTGGTCTAACAACAGACTGTCACCTCACTATACCATTTGTTTCTCAAGGTTTTGAACGTATCTTTGTCCTAAGAGCTATTAGAAGTGTTCTCGTGCATAACCCCACTAAAGAACCGCGGAAAACAAATAACCTTGTTTTTTGGTATCAGTTTTGTATTACAATAATACAACCCGGCATACATATAACTACAATTTTATCTCTCTTTATAGAAAGTATATAACCTGAAACAATAAAAAAACGACAAGCTTTGGGATTGGAGACTGTTTATTTTTCAACAAAACAGTCTGAAGGGCTTTGATGGCAGAAAGGAAGAAACAGGAACGAAACAGTAGTTGACTTAGTTGTTCGTAGGTCTCTGCAAAGGTAAAAACATCACTGTTATGCAAATCTTCTGGTCACCCGTCTTCAACGTTGAACATTTAATCCTAAACTTGGAAGTTTCACATCGGCTGCGAATTTCAGGCATTTATATTAAAACACGCCTTCACCACGTGAACGATTGTTTAAAAGAGGCTTCTCGGAAGCTGTGCAACTATGCTTGCCGCCGTCGATTGAAAATTATGGTGAAAACTTTTCTAAGAGTGTTTGTCCTGTAGCTGACGTTGCTGTATGTTTTCTCTCCAGTGATGATAGGCTCAACCTCTAACATCATGTGACGTTACGAACCTTATAAACATTGTCGTGTGAAACAGGTACTCTTTCGAAGATGACAGCAATTATTGTCTTCTTTTCTAGAATGCGTGAACTCTCATAGCGAATGTTGTACAAAATTAAAACGCGGCAAACCAACCTCCTGTTATCGACGCTACATTTTTTGGCGTCCTTTCTAGGCAATCTGTGTTTGTGACACCCTTACACATAACATCTGTCGTACCTCTTAGTTTCTTCCCCCTACTCTTCCAAACTGGCAATTGTTTGCGAGAAATACTTTCGCGTCAAAGCACTATTAAAGAATTCGCGCCGACCCAAAAAACACACGTTTAGTTATTCCAACCAGCACATGACACACCATAAACCAATGAAACAGCTACTTTAGGCAATACTTCACTGATAAATTAGTATATTTTGAATTTTTTTAGTGGTCGGCGCTAATCGTTGTTTAAGGAACCTTGCAGTTGGCCCTAAGACTATTGCACATTGCGTATGTTTCATTTCTAATCCGACCTCGTTTGGTGTAACGGGGCTTAATCTTAACTCAAAAACCTGATAAATCACAACTGTTTTCTACTAAATATATGTGAATATGTTGGTGGATCGAAATAAGGTTAAAGAACCTATAGACGGCGTAAGCCATAAAATAAGCCGAAGAAATAGGTGAGGAATCGTCCGGTTTGTGCCTTTAACTGTTTGCAAGATTGTACCTGTTCTTTACGGTATATAACCAGTTTTCGTTTATTGTAGACAGTATACATGAAGAGTGACAGACATCCAGGAGCTTACCTTTAGTGAAGGATACCGACGCCACCGACGCCACCAGCGGCGACCTTGCCGAAGCCGCTCTGCCCATGGGAAGCGTGGCCGCCGGCAGCTCCACCGGTGAAGCCCGTAGAACCCTGTTGGTGCCCAGTACCGAAGTTCTTGGCATCGCTGGCGGAGAAGCCGGTGTCGGAGTTGTAGCCAGACTGGTGGTTGTAGGATGTTACGTGCTTCTTAGCGCTTCCGCCAGCGAAGGCACCGGATCCCTGGGTGTGTCCAGCGGCTCCCTGCTGGAATCCAGCCTGGTTGGCTCCAGCGGCGTGGCCGTGGCTGGCTCCATAACCGTGATGGCCAAGACCGACTCCGTGCCCGAGGCCAACGCCGGGTCCAACGCCGTGTCCAATGCCGTGACCAAGACCAACACCTCCAATACCAGCTCCGACAAGTCCAGGGTTAGCGAGACCAGCGCCCACGAGACCGGGATTTACAAGACCGACTCCTGGGCCGACGCCAGCGCCGTAGCCGACTCCACCGGCACCGAGGCCGGCTCCTAGGAGACCACCGCGGCCCTCGACCTTGTCCTTCTTGGCCTCTTCGGCGAAGGTGACGCAGGCAACGACGGCCAGGACGGCAAGAGACAGAAATTGCTGGAGATTCATTAAAAAATATTAAACTAATGTCGAAAAAAAAACACAAAAAACTTGAGCTAAAGTTAAGCATAGAAAGGAGCTGGTAAGGATTATTCAAACTGAACTGACCCCTAAGACTGAGGAAATCACATCACGTACAAGGCTTTGTGCAGTGGAGGATTCAGAGGAGTGGGGGGGGGGGGGGGAGGGGGGGGAAGGAGGGGGGGGGTCCGGATGTCCCGACCCCCCTCTTGAATTCTGAATGTGTTAAAATGTAGGGCGTGTAGACGGGGTGGGGGTTCTCCAACATATGATACGCTGACCCCCTCTGGAAATACCTGCACCCGCCCTTGGTTTTATACATGCTGCCATGTGTGTCAGTTTTTCTTAGTATTAGGGTTGCGTTCATTGAAAGGAGCCTCTTTTCATAAATGTAAGACAAGACACTGAGTCTCTTTATTTTTTTGTCGTGGGGCTGCAACGAGAGCACGCGTAAGGTACTTTCATTGATTAGGTTTTCTCTCTAAAGATTAAGTACATGCACAATTACTGATGTTGACATAAAGCTAACAAACAGTATAAAATGCAGTATAAAATGTTCTAAGGTGTTTTGGGTGTCTTACGAGGTCTTTGGACGTGTTAAGTGAAGTTACAATATAATTGTTTTTACGAAAGCGTTAAAATGAATTTATGCGCGAGATTTCTTGACTTTCCGCTCTAGAGTTGAATTATGAACAAAACATTAATTGAGAATATAATATATATAAAAAAAATATTTTTTGTCACGAAATACGTTATAGTCACCAACAAACTAAGAAATACAGGGTGGGAGCATCGCTCCGCATTAATTAAGATTGCTGTATCAGCCGATGAGAAAGCCTAAGAACGAAGCACAAAGGAAGAAACGTGATCATGATCACGTTTCTTCCTTTGTGCTTCATTCTTAGGCTTTCTCATCGGCTGATACAGCAATCTTAATTAATGCGAAGCGATAATAGGATGCTGGAAACTCACCACGCCCTGCGGTACTGGAGCTGTCAGTGACTTTAGTCGGCCGATATGTTAAGAAAAGCAGGGTGTGGCTCATTATGTTCCCGCTTCTTGCTTCTTGATTCGTCCCTCGGCGTCCTTATTGGCCAATATCGCAATCTAATTAAATGACTGCGGAACGATTAAAAAATGCACAGGATTCACAACGCCCGGCTTTTCTAAAGCTGTCAGGGACAATAAAGGGTTGAAGTGTTTGTACTTAAATGTTAACAAATGCCGCGCGAATGTAAGTCAGTAGTAACGTATACAAAGGCCATCAAAAGACGAGGTGACACGTGACTCACGAACATCATACCAGCAATAATCACAACTTAAGGAATTCAACGCACCTTCATGTTGATGCTAAGTGGGTTTTCAAACGACTAATGCTCCTTGGAGACTTGGAAGAGCTTGATTCCTCTGCGGATCTGTGGGTCCACATCGATGTGCCTCTCTGCTTATATACAACCTCGCTCCTCGAAAAAAGAGCAATTAAAAAAGAAGCATCGCGGGATGGGGTTGTTTCGTTTTCGGCCTGCAATAGAACCGACGGAGGTAAAGCATAAACATTGCCTTTCTCTATCTATGGTCCCACATGACCATTCAGTTTGTGCGTCGACCACCCTGCTGACCTTGCTTTGGGAAGGCGTGAGAGAGAAAGTTCTTTAAAAAGTTGATAGAAAACTAGGGGTGTATTCAGTCTCCTTTCCCAAAGCAGTAGGAGGGCTCCTTACTCTTTTTTTTAGTTTGGCGTCTTTCAGTCAAACAGGTTTTAAGCCCGCCATTACTGCGAGAAGGTCGAAGCACTTTCCACGGAGGTGCTAACTCTGCAGCCCTCGCCTTCCTTGAATATGACGTCGGAGAAGCTTCGATAGTCATCTCCTCCAGTTTTTCTTTTCCCCCTCTCTTGTCTTCCTTCTAGTTCGTGTTGACGGGCATGTTAAAGGCAGTGTTTTCACAATGCGTAATTTCTCGTATCGTCACTGCTACAGTTCCCATTAGAACGATTGCCGAGGTGATGTTAGCCTCTTACTTGCCGGGGTGTCCGACAGGTGAGACAGAATTATTATTTGCCGTTTCGAGGAACCGACATGGTAAGATCTCTTGGAAAGCAAACGTGGACGCTGAAAAGAACGGAAAAATTCACTTGCTCAAATTTGCGGCCGTTGCAAAAGCAAGAGAAGGTCATCTTGCAGCTATTACACCAATGCTTCATAAACAACAAACGCAACGCTTTTTTCTTACAAGAAAATTGCAGTTTCTAGCTATCCAGGGAACGAGAGGCAATATTGTTCTAAGGTTAAAGATATTTGTTATGCGTTTTTTTTCATCGAGTATAATTATTGTAAGCAATTCAACTCATTTCCTTCGCGTTGATTGCGCCGTATGTTTTCATGTGTAGCAACTCCAAAAGATCTGGCAGCGGCAGGACATGTAATTCCACCTGTTTGGACTTCTGTAATGTTGGTACAGCTTCCGAGAATATTGACTGTCAAATTTGAAATCTTGTCATATTAATCTTTTTTTTTAAATTTACCTAGAACAATTTTGTGAACATTGATACCGAATTCTAGTTTTAATCGATGACGAGTTGACACAAGAAAGTCTCCTACAAAAGTAAACAGACAAAAACATGCTTTTCATTTTTTATACTAGTCTTTTTCACATTCCCAATACTTCGAATCCATTAAAAGATCATCATTTTGACATTGAAGCAAAAATAATTGTCTCAACGTTCAAAAAATGGCATTTTGATGCTCACTGATTGTTCACATATCAGAAGCTCTTAAATCAGAACATCTTAAGAGTTTTATTCCCAAATAAAATCCCGACTTTTATCACGCCGTTCTGTCAAACAAGAAAATTCACGTTTTCAGAATATGGCGGGGCAGAAACCAGAGGTTACTATATTTGGAGGTCTATATGAAGCCTGGTTTTATCACTATGAGTAAAACGGCACTACTATCGCTATCGCAATCATGCAGTGAACAGCATAATTGCTTTCTAAAGCGAACTCTTTTCAGTTTGTTCTGTTGTCGAGGGCTGCATCAGATGATCAAGCATATCTTCAAATTGTCATATTCTATATTACATCTTTAACTCTCTGGCACGACAATATAAGCATAATAGACCAACAGGGCTTGTCACACAAAATATCGACTTTGATTTTTGTATTCCGGTACGGAAAGGCGACAGCATAGACAGCTTAGAGTTGACAACTTAAAGTCAGTGACAACTCTCAAAGGACGGCAAACGCTATAGTTAGGCCAATGAGTATTTTGTATTAACGAATAATGATTGGCGTTCACATAAACCATTTGCCTTTTTTTTAAAGTCGTAACTGGCTATGTGAACGGGTTAGCATTCATGAAGTGAGAATGGATTCTGCGTTAAACTGACTGAATCGTAAAATTATAAAATATATAAAAAAGTAGAAACATGTGATTGTGCGTTAAAGGGTATTAAATAAACAACATATATTAGTCTAAGAAGTATAGGCACTACTATTACAATTGTGGACTTTTTCTTTTGTAGCATGCAGCGAATTCCTAAAGAAAACGTTTACACAGTTTTTTTGCAACACAAAAATAAACCATGCTCTAACATGCCCACCCAAAAGTACAATCTAAAAAGTGCCTGTGCGTCTACTTGCCCGGAAAACACTCAAATAGCCAAGCCCATCTCTGCAATCTACGAAATCAACCCAGCGAATGATGAAGCAGAACATCCGTTTAGACCGGAAAATGAAGTCTGAGCTGTGGCATTACGCAATACAAAGTGCCATGCTTGCATTGCGTAATTCCACAGCGCAGAGTTATTTTTAACGTTAAACAGATTTTCCGTTTCATTCGCTGAGCTGATTTTCTAGATCGCAATGATTGGCTCTTTGAGTGTTTTGCGGGTAAGTAGACGCGCAGGCATTTTTAAGAGAGTAGGGTATGCAAAGAAACGCCTGCACGTCAACTTACACGCAGAAGCCTCAAATAGACAATCATTGCGATCTAGGAAATCAGTTAAGCGAATGATAAGCCGGAACATCCGTTGAGACCTGAAAATGAAGTCTGCGCTGTGGCATTACGCAATGCAAAGCGTCATGCTTGCATTGCGCAATGCCACAGCGCAGACTTAATTTTGAGGTTAAAGAGATGTTCCGCCTCATCATTCGTTTAGCTGATTTCCTAGATCACAATGATTGGCTCTTTGCGGGTTTTACGGGTATGCAGACGCGCAGTCATTTTTAAGGGAGTAATGCTGAACTCCGTTTGGGGAGCTTAGTAAGTCCAAAAGCAAACCGACGTCACGAAGTACTGAGAGCAATCAAGCAGCGTCAAAGGCACAGGTCACGAGGTCTTTTCTGTTGAGGATTGGCTCAGTGATCATAGAACATGAACAGAAGCATGGCTAACACCATGATGGTGCCCTTTTGACGCTCTCTGTTTGGCCCCATCTGCGCGTAGCGTCGGCTGTGTCCAAACTGAAGGCGAAACAATGTATAGCAGTCTCAACCAGATGCTAAAGTTTCAGATCTAGCTGTTGTCTTAGTGAGAAGTGATTTCCTAAATTTTCCCATCTTTAAAACGGTTTTCGATTCCTGTAGCTTTACGCCATTTATATTCATGAATTTAATAAGGATGGCGATGTGACTGAGTTGGTTCATGTTTAAGCAATAAGAGGTAGCCAACTTGAATAAATAATTGGGATTGTGTGGATATTTATATAGCGTGTAGTTGGCCAGCCATTTTAAAGTTGCGACGAGTCACTCGTGTCTAGATGAGCAATTTAGTCAGTGCAGTACAACCGATAGCCTGGGGTCTTTAACGTGCATCGCGCAGTAGTGATACACGACCGCACGTCGGTACGATGCTCATCCAGATCGAAACGGGCAGGGATGGAGATTGGGCCCAGGATCCCTGGGCTCTGCAGCGCGAGCTTTCGCTCCACGTGCTCCGAGCTGGTGTGCACTTGCCCACTGGGACACCAATGCCCCTAGCCAACTTGAATATGAGTTGACACAATGGTTATTTGGTGGATTGTTTCTGTCGGTGTTTCTGAATAAATATTTAGTTGTCAGTTCAGTACTGGTCCTTTGTATTTCTCTCTCGTTTTTATTGTTTTTGCGCGCTGTTTCATTTGTTCCATGTGCTCGTGGGCTTCGTCGACCATCGCTTCGCAATTACCGATTTCGAAAGTCGCTTATAACTTTTAATTAAATAACGGCGATCTTTTAAATTTTGGCATCTGGCGCGGACCGCTAGTGCTACATTAGGATAAAGATTGAGCGTTCGGCGCTCAATCTTGGGGGCTTGATGGTGCATAGCTGCTCTCCGAGTCAAGCGCAAGTGAAACAACCGAAAGTTCGATACTGTTCCCGTAAGTCGGGCGTCTGCTGGGCTTCCTATGTGCATTCAGTCGAAGTTTGTGTTATCTCGTGTCTTTCAGTGTGTTTTGTTAATCCCATTTTGAATTAAATCCCAAGAATGAGGCACTGAGCATTGCACAAATGCCACTTGATAAACTAGGGTCTTAAAACTTTCCCATCGAATGGTTTCCCAGAAGACTTATCGGGTCTGGATGAGCTGTAACTGCGCAAGGAGCGACTCTCTTGAGATGACAAAAACAATCAGCGCCCTGGACGTTGTTTGAACCTGCAATCGGAAGAGTTGAAAAGCTTGTCAAGCGCTCGCTTCCGGGACAAGCCGCGTACTTCCGGTGGGTTCATACCTGTTTTTTCAATGCACCATTCAGCCCCCTAGTACAAATCAGTGGTTTGACGCCGTTTCTGGGCATTGGTAGAACACAAACAAACACACACACATGCATCTTTTTTTTTTTTGGAGGGGGGGTGACATTTCATATAGCTTATTCTACTAAAACTCTCTTTCGGAACAATTCTTCTCGAAATAATGTGATATGAAATTACATTGAAGTTCATCACTCACAGTAATTAAATACTAGTTTTATGCTATACACTGTAATTGCGATCTTAATCAATATGAATTTTTCTATTTACTAGAATTTTGTAATTTCGGCGCCGTATGACCGATTAGATTCTACTGAAATATCTGCTCCATGGTTGGCGGGAGAACGCGGTGTAAGACATTTCTTCCTGAATTATCGGATTGTGATTTAGAATCGATATATATTCGTAAACATAGCCTTTTTTCAAGATTGATGATAATGTGCAGTCACTCTGAACGGATCTGGAAAACCATGATTCTTAGTTTTCTCAAACATTTTAGACAACAACTACCGCTCTCAACCTCCACCACTTTGGACACATGCGACTACTATTAGTTACTTTAAACATACCAGATAATCATCTTCAATGATGTTTTGTTTATTGCTCACGGATGATAAGAATCGCTAAACCCGGAACCTTGTGGAGATCGACTTCAGTTTTCTTAAAATTCTGAAAAAAAAACACGTGAATATAATTCTTATATTACACGATAATTTATTTGATGGTCGAGGCAAAAGTAAGAAAGGCATGGCTTACTAGACGCACAATTTTGTATTCAAAGGCATTAGGAGACATATCCTCTCAACTACGAGTGTATGTTACTGGAAAAACTAAGTACGATCCACCTTTAAGGGTTACGTCGATTGAAGTTCGTACTTGATCGTAGCAGCTAATTTTGCAAAATCTCAGTGGGAGGCGTTTTATGAATCCTGCACAAATTCTTCCACCGATCGCTAAGGATACGACGAAATTTTTTAGTCTGCCTAAATGAGAAGTCAATCAAAATTGTAAGCTTTCTTTTTTTTTACGCAGCATTTAGAATGTTTCAAATGGTTCTTCACGTGCAAAAAAAAAGAAGAAAACATTGTCTATTAGGTACGTAGTTCGTACCACTTAAAGATCAAAATTAATTGCTATAAAATTATTCGAAACAGTCAATTTAACATTAAAATAATTGTGCTGTTTACTCCTAGCATGATGCGTATACCTTCGCGTTTTAGAATCCCACTAAGTTGGTGTTATGTTTTTATGCTCTGTAGACTCAAAACGTTATAAGAAACAGCAAGCTTGCCTTTAGTGGGGCACGTAGCCAAGTCCCCCAACTCCAGCGCCACTGGTGGCGACATTTCCAAAACCGCTCTGTCCATAGCCAGTCTGTCCACCCAAGGCTCCACCGCTGAATCCAGAAGAGCCCTGTTGCTGCCCAGCACCGAATACATTGGAGTCGCTAGAAGAAAAGCCACTGTTGGAGTTGTACCCGGACTGGTGGTTGTAGGACTGCACGTTTTTCTGGGCGCTTCCGCCAGCAAAGACGCCAGATCCCTGGTTGTGCCCAACAGCTCCCTTCTGGAATCCAGCCAGGCCACCTCCAGCCATTTGACCATACCCGGCTCCGTATCCGTGGTTCAAACCAACACCGCCAATGCCAACTCCGTGACCGAGACCAGCACCGTGACCCAAACCGATACCACCTAGACCAGCTCCGACAAGGCCCTGGTTGGCAAGACTAGCAGCGACAAGACCGGGGTTTGGGAGACCACCAGTGACAAGACCAGGGTAAGCTAGCCCAGCGCCGACGACAGCGGGGTTCGCGACACTCATTCCGGGACCAATTCCAGAACCGTAGCCTGCTCCAGTACCGACGCCGCCTCCGTAGCCGACTCCCCCGGTGCCAAGGTTGGCTCCGTAACCGACTCCTCTGGCACCGGCAAGGTCGGTTTTCAGGACACCACGATGCGCCTTGATATTTTCGCCCCTCTTAACTTCTCCGGCGAGGGTGACGTAGGCAGCGACGGCCAATACGGCAATAGACACGAACTCCTGAGCACAAACAAAAAAGTGAGACATACTTTGCAAAAGGCAAAGGGTTAGAACTTAGTGAAGATTAGTGGACATTTATTGGAAAGCTTCATTGTATGGTTAATTTAGTAACGGCATTTATTTGGGCATTATATCGCTATAAATTAATGCGATGTCGAATTTCTGGTTATGAATAATAGCATTGCCTCTACCAAACAACTTTAGCATGCAAACTTCTATAAATAAAGAAACTTAAATTATCAATGGCAATGGGCTAATGAACTCCTCGAGAATTTTATATCTTCTGACAAGAGAAAGACACACCTTCATGATGATGCTGAGCTTGTTGTCAAACGAGGGTGATGATTGAAGACTTCAGAGAACTTGGTTTCTCTGTGCATCTGAAGTTCTGCACTGACGTGACTCTGGAATTATATAGAGGACCGGTACTCACGAAAAAAAAAACTTAAACAAGCATGACAGAAAGGCGACCTTATGTTTTTGACCTCCAATAGAACCGACAGGAGAAAGACATAAACAATTAAGTATATGTTATGCGGTTCTTTCTAGTACTTTAGAGGATACGTTAACGTTCAGCTGACCCTGCTCTTGGGAATGCGATAGAGAACTCCACAAAAGAGGATGAGACAACCGGGTATTCAGTCCCCTTCCCCAAAACAAGGGAAGATATGTTTTTTCTCTGTCTCTGTTGGTCTGTTTTCAGTCAAACCGGTCCCAAGCGAGTCCTTATGGCGAGACGTTTGAAGCACTTTCTTCTTGTGTACTTACTTTCCCCACATTTCCTGAATGTGACCTGGGAGAAGCTTCGATAACTAAACTATCTCCGACATGTCTTCTTCTTCGACCTATCTCCTTTTTTCTCTTCCACTGCTTAGTGTTTAGATGCCCGTTTCTTGTACTGTTTTGTTCATTTTTCGTTACGTTGTATGCTTCTCAGTAGAAAGATTGCCGAGAATACGCTGCTCAGACAGGGACGCCTAACTTGTCCTTCCAGACGTGACACACTTTATGTCGCACTTGTACGAAGCTTAACTTCTCTAAAAATGTTACTGCGCTTATTGCTTCGAGAAGCATTTAAGTAACTATCAGTCACCTTTTATTTTGGTAATTAGTAGTGTGCTTTACCAAGCAAACAACTAATGCAATTAATTTTTACTCAAGTTACAAATCACTTCCGAAATTCAGTGGCGAGTTGCTCAAGGGCCAAGCGAGCGCACAGAGGAAAAAAATATATAAGTCGATACATCTACTTCTATTTATAAAGAAAACAATGCATACATGTAGTAACTCTGTTCATATTGATATTGATGTCGATATTATTAATTTTTTCAACTCAACAGAGCCGCGGCGCCAAAGAAAGGCAATGAATGCCTGCGGCACCTCGTTTGTCGATAATGATATGGTATTGTACGGACGAAGGCAACTCTGGTGCACCTGTAAATTGCTGTGTTTACATTTTTCAACGCTCTCACGGTCGCAATGTGTCATTCGTAATCTTTCGTTTAGCTAGACCCCCCTCCCCCTCCTCCACCTCCCCCCTCCCTCTCACCTATGAAACGTGCTTGACCGTGCCAGTATAAGGCCGTTTAATCTCACTTTTTTCTTTTTTTAGGGCACAGCTCCTAAACTTCCAGGTGTCGCGGCGTCGGCGTGTCTGCCCCGCTAAATTTTGCGGGAAATTGAATTGGTGTTTAGGTCACGTGACGTCAGTTTTCCCGCTAAATTTAGCAGGGAAAATGACGTCACATGACTTCGCGTCACGTTACCTATGAGCAAATTCAGTTTCTTTGCTAGATTTGGCGGGAAAACTGACGTCACGGAACCTCAACACTAATTTCAATTATACGGTTGAGAAGAAAGGTGCATTCCCTCCCCTCCGCAACCTCGCCTCCTCCTCCTCAAGAGCTGCGCTTTAATTTCGCGTTACAGTGATTTGTAAACGTCCTTAACTTTCTACTTTAGATGCGCGGATGCCGTTTTGTGTGCGAGAAAGTAGCAGCTCTTGTTTCTTCGTATCCAGAAGAGCACCGAAACCCCATGTATAGTTTCTGACAGTGTAAGAATCGCAAGGCGTGGCTTCGGGGATTCGTTCTGTAGCGTCCTTATTGGTGAATTGCAGACAACTGCATAGGCTGCGAAGCGATAATAAGATGTCCGGAACTGTCATCTCCCTTCCTTTCTTAGGCCGTCAGAGCTTACACCAGCCCCTGTCTTGCATGCTTTACTCTACGGCACAGGGGCTTTTTTTTTTAAAGGTGCTTTTACTGTATTGCGAATAATTATGTTTGTTGCTAGCCCAAAAATCTGCACTGGCTTGGTTTAGGACAAAAATGTGAAAGGCTGGAACAGGAATGACAGCGTTTGGCGTCCTGCCTTCTTACGGCTATATAGCTGTCAATTCGTATAATAAAAGCCGCTTACACCTTCACTACTGTCACCAGCTAATGCAGCACTTTTATTGTCTTTGGAGAGATAATTAGATTACCGGGACTCGCCATGTCCTGTATTTCTTAAGTTCTCAAAAACTATTGAAAGTACGACGCCCAGTGACTTCGTGCCTCGAAATTACGGAGGAAATTCACAAGTGTTCGGCTGTCCTACCCCGAGCGCATTTTCGAAGAGGGTCCTTATAGCCACCCACGGCTTTCGCTCTTGGCCAGTTCTCCACTTTTATAGAAAAGTGCCAAAAACGATAAGCACTAGCTCTAAATATAACGGTGCTGTATGTGATTGGCTGACTAGATCTTCTCGGGTGAGGAGACAAGATGGGCCCAAGAAGGAACCAGAATGTCGGTTCTCTAGAGAGGTGTCGATATACACTGCGATGCGTTTCTGCAACAGATAATTTATGAACTACACTGTGTGTTCATTGACCATTAGTTCAGTTCACCTTCCGAGAGCTTGGCAGCTTGAAGAACTGGTACTTCAAAAGTGTGCATGCTGTTTCTTAAAAAAACGAACTAGCAAACAGTAAAATTAACAGAGGCGTTTTTATGAACACCGGCAAACTGCTTCTCGCTGGCCTGACCGAACTTGAGGCCCTGATTTGACGATGCCATAAAACTACCCGAAACTGCGCTAAATCGGGCAGAAAAATTATCAAAATTAAAGGAAAAATACCCAAGACGGGGAACGGTTTTCTGCAGGCTTTAGCTCGGCGTTCACCTTCCTATGTTTCTTTTCTTTGACTTCCTAATAATGTCACGAATGACAAGTGATGAGGCGATAATAACTGATAAAACTAAACGTTCAATGGGGCGAACTTGTGCCCAAAAATAAAAAGGAAACAAAAGAAAGCAGAGCGTCGCGGGCGTCGAAGTCGGCATGACTAGCAGAGTCGAACGCTGGGGCGAAACTGACTCCGCCTTGCCACGCGGAGCCCCTTTTGTACACACGTCGCCTTCCGGAACAATCAGCGTAGAAGGTTCGGCGTGTCGAACATTCTAACCTCGCATCAGCAACACGGTTCTCGAATTTAGCGTAGCATTACGTTAGCATCAACAAAAATGCGTCTCCGCGGCCGAGAATCGAACGCTGGGTTTCTGCTCGGAGTGCACGCGCGATAACCGTTAGGCCGTGAGCGCGCTGCCTGCTTGGCCACCTGCGCGCGCGGTAATGTGTTGAAAATTTACCCTAGTCTCGGATATTTTTACAACACAGCTAATATCCACGTGCTTGTCTGTAAATTACCTCCATCTCTGCTCTTTAAGAATTTTGGGGAATGGACACGTAGCTAGGTTGAAGCGATATTTAATTTCTAGCTTGCGGGAACGCAAAAGTTTGTAAAAAGAGTTTTTCCTTGTGCAAAAACAAAAATAACTGCCTCCCTGCAACAATAATAAAACTCATTATGCATTAACCCATAAAAGGCTATCTCCTGGTATTGTTACCATAAAGGATCCATTAAAACATAATTTGAAGAAACTGTGTTACGACGGCTTATGACCGCTTACGTTGCTGAGCGTTGCTATGGCAACCTAGGACCACGCAATGTGCAGCAGTGGTACTGAACGCAATGTAGCGCGGTCAATACAGATATCTAAACCAGCCTTTGCAGCTTTGATGACTTTCGAAAAAAATCTAAATTTTTTTTTAGTGCTTTCTTCTTCTTTTTTTTTTTTGTGCGCATAATTCAGCGGATATAGAAATAGTTGACATTTTTCTGTTCAGCAATAAACAAAACTTTATTGCTCATAATTAGGGTTCCGCGTTCTCGGTTTCTATTTTTTTTTAAATTCGGCGTACTTTTTTCGGTTTTTATTTTAAAATTCAATATATTTATGCCCAGAAAATTTTATCGCCTTTTTTCGGTGAATATAAAATGAACACCAACGGACACCGGATCAGATGATCCTTGAAGCTCTGATATTTGTGATCACTCAAAGAAAAATGAAAGCCGCTTACAACTCCCTGTAACGCCGAATTAGAGCGCAGCTCTTGAGGAGGAGGAGGGAAGGGCACTGGGGGGGGGGGGGGTTAAACTAACCAGGGGGGGTCACGTTACCTTGGGGGTCACGTGACCCCCAATGCCGATGATGTCATCACTGACGTCATCAGTGACGATGACGATGCGGGTACATATGACGTCATTAGTGACGTCACTGATGACTTCACCAGTGATGATGACGATGACGATGCGAATGTCGGTGACGTCATCAGTGACGTCGCTGATGACGTCATCAGTGATGATGACGATGACGATGCGGATGCCGGTGACGACATCAGTGACGTCACTGATGACGTCATCAGTGATGATGACGATGACAATGCGGATGTCGGTGACGTCATCAGTGATGATGACGATGACGATGTGGATGCCGGTGACGTCATCAGTGATGATGACCATGACGATGTGGATGCCGGTGACGTCATCAGTGATGATGACGATGACGATGTGGATGCCGGTGACGTCATCAGTGATGATGACGATGACGATGCGGATGCCGGTGACGTCATCAGTGATGATGACGATGACGATGTGGATGCCGGTGACGTCATCAGTGATGATGACGATGACGATGTGGATG